CGCACCATACATCTGTTGTTTAATGAGCTTCGCGGACACACTTCGCTTAGTCTTCCTCTCCTGCAGGTGTGGCACTCCTGCGTTGAGCAAATCTAACGCACATCGTTTTCCCAACAGCATGTGCTCGCTGCACCGTCTCTGTGTCACAGTCTGGTAACCGCAAAATATTCCAAACCTTTTTATTACTCTTTCTGCTACGGTGACCTCTGGGTCTTTCACGTCATTATTATAGCTGTCCAGGACACTATGAACAGCACCCACAAACATGGAGAATTTGCTAGTCATGGTGGTATGCATTGGTAGTCTCAGCTATTTTGGAGGCTGAGGCAAAAACACTGCTCAAGAATTCAAGACCAACCTGGACATCGCAGTGAGATCCCATCTCTGAGTGGGAGGTGGGAGGAGAGTTAAACATTGTTTGAAGTCTTCTCTGTCTTTTTGGTAGAACTGAGGGTTGAACCTATGGCTTACTAGGCAAATGCTCTACCACTGAGCTACACCCCCAGCCTGTGGTGTGTGTTCTGATTACTACACTTCCTGGCTGCTCTCTGTCTTTCTCCCTCTCCTCGGGCTTCTCTATTCCCTAAGACACATCAATATGCCGATTAGTAACCCTATAAAGGCCCCTAGGGGATCAAGTGAAAGGAAGAGCTGCAATTCTCTCACTTTAATCTGAAAGCTACCGTGACTGAGCTTATCGAGGAAGGTGTGCTGAAAGCTCAAACAGGTGAAAGCCAGGCTTCTGATGTCGGCTCACCAAACTGCTAACTGCAAAGGGAAAGTTCTCCAAGAAAGCTACAAGTGCTTCTCCAATGACCACACAAATTACAGGTCATCAAACTGGTCTTGTTACTGATACAGACTGTGGTTCTTAGGATGGAAGATTAACCAGTCACTATGCCCTGAAGTCAAAGTTTAACGCAAGGTCGCAAGACTTCTCAATTCCATGAAGGTTCAGAGAAGTGAGAAAGCTGTAGAAGAAACGTCTGAAGCTGGCAGAGGTTGGCTCCTGAGGTTGAGAGGAAGAAGCCGTCTCTGTAATACAAAGGTGAAGGTGAAGCACGGGCACTGATATAGAACCTGCAGTAAATTATCAAGAACTAATGAATTAATGAAGTTGGTTACCCTCAGAAACAGATTTTCAACATAGAAGAAACAGCCTTACACTGGAAGGAGAATTCTAGAGGCTTTATAGAGAGAAGTCAATACCTAACAGTCTGGGGATGGGCGTGATGGCACACACTTCTAATCTCAACATTTGTAGGCTGAGGCAGGAGGATCACTGAGAGTGAGCCACTGTAATCACTGGGGCTATATAAGCAAGTTCAATGTCAGCCTGTTCTACATAATGAAACCCTGTCTCACAAAAACCAAAACAACAAACAAATGACATCTGACTCTCTTGTTAGGAGCTAAGCTAATGCAGTTGGAGCCTCAAAACTGAACCCGTTGCTTATTTACCCTTCTAAATAAGCCCCTAAATTCTTTAGGGCTCTAAAGAATCAGACTATTTGGGAGGGTGAGGCAGGAGGATTGCAAACTCCAAGCCAATCTGAGTAATACAGTGAGACCATGTCTCAAAACAAGAAATAAAAAAGGGCTGGGGATGAAAGTTCAGTGCAAAGGCCCTGAGTTCAATCTCCAGTACCGAGGGGGAAAAAAGAAGAAGGAGCCACACTAAGAACAAAGCAACTCTTGTTCACAACATGGCTTACGCACATGCTAACCCCACTGCTGAGACCTGCTGCTCAGATCCTACAGCTCACTGATAACACACCTGATTACCCCCCAGGGCTCCAGTGCAGTAAAATGAGATGGCTGACACAATAACAGTCTTTCTGGAGCCCACAGATCAAGGAGCAACTTTGATTTTTCACATGGTATCACTAATGCCATGCCTGGTGATTCATGCAATGGATCTGGGCAAAGTCAATGGGAAGTCTTCACCATTCTAGATGCCTTAACAACCGTGAGTGATTCACGGGGGAAGGCACAATACTGACATCAACAGAACCTGCAAAGAATGCAATTCCATCATTGATGACTCATGGATTCATGACCTAAGTGCAGGAGATAACTGCAGATGTGCTGCGAGGGCAAGGGAACTAGTGTTACAAGTGGAGCCTAGAGATGGGGACTGAACAGATATGGTCCCACGGCACAGCTGGAACAGACGTGGAATTGCTTCATATAGATGAACAAAGAAAACGGTTCCCTGACATGGATCCACTGGTGAAAATGCCATAAACATTGTTGGATGACAACAAAGGATCTGAGTACTACATAAACCTAGTTGATAAAGCAATGACAGGGTGAAGGCACCAATTCCAATTTCCACTGTGAGCAAAACGCTACCAAAATAGCACTGCGTGGTGCAGAGAAATCATTCTTGAAAGAAAAGCAACTGATGGAGCAAACTGCATGGCTGACTTCTTTCCAGAAATTGCTACAGACACCCTAACCTTCAGCAACCACCCCACCAGTCAGTAGTCATCAACATCTAAGTAAGAAGCCCACAGCAAAAAGATTATCACTTGTCAAAGACTCAGATGACTGTACTTTTTTAAGCAATAAAAAACTTTTAAATTAAGCTCTGTACATTTTTTAGATGTGATGCTATTGCACACTTAGATCACAGTTGAGCATAAATGTAACTTTTATGTGTATTAGGAAAGCAAAAAAATCGTGTGACTAGTTTCACTGCCGTATCTGCTCTGAAACTGAACACACAGAATCTTCGAGGCACGCTTGCATATTTTTAGCCTCGAAGCTCTTTAAACTCTTCCACTTATTCTCTCAGAGCCAAAACATAATATGGCTTCTAGTTAGTTATAAGGCAGCGAATTTCTTTTCTAGCGTGGCTAAGGAAGTTGTTCATGTCTGGCAGGAAGAAGTGAGACCCCTGTTGGTGTAAGGGCACCACTATCTCCCCTTCCTGAGCCCGCAATGTGAGAGGCCTGCAGCACTGGCCCAGCTTCCCTCCCTGCAGAGCCTCAGTGCCTGCACGGAATGCACTAGAGTCTGAGCTTTGTGAGGATACAGGCTTTGATTTACTTATCTTCATAAACAGATACCACAAGCAGCAAAGCAGCTGGCACTTGACCAACACATTTTTATTAAAATAATGTTATCCTAAAGGAAACACACAAGCAGAACGAGACCCCGCTTGTCTGGTCATGCAGGTAATAAGTGGTACTTCCACATCTTTACTCTTAGCCCACCTACAAGATCTCTTAATGGCTATAAATGTGATACTGTAAATGAAACATAGAAGAGAAAAAGACAGTAGGAAGAACTCATGTAGAAGAATTCTGAAAATGGAATCCAGTCCAAATAGAGTCCCTGCTGCCTGGGTTGAGTGATCTAGAAGATGGTCAGGCCAGGAGAGCCTGCTGAACTAAAATAGCAATGACTGGATTCTTCTATTAGGGCAAAAAGAAGACACACCATAGAAGTTATGGCTATAAAAGAAAAACACTTTAACGTGGGTATCTTATTGAGATAAGCAAATTAAAATAAAAACCTCAAAAAGCATGATGGCACACGCTGGCAATCCTAGCACTTGGGAGGTTGAGGCAGGAGGATCACTGCAAGTTCGAGACCAGCCTGGGCTACCAAGTGAGCTCAAGGCCAACCTGAAGTACATAGCAATACCTTGTCTCAAAAAGACAAAGTAAATAAATAAATAACACCTCAACAAGTAAGGCAAAGACATAAAAAAGATGCCCGTTCTGTTAAGTAGGAAAAGAACAAGTAAAAAAATAATACATGGTTTGATTTTGGTTTTGTATTTTAAAAATGTCACCACATACACAGAAAATACGTAAAGGAATATAATCTAAACTGTTAATAGAAATTAGTTCTTCAGGATACAATAACAGGATAAATTATAGGTTGGGGGAGAGAGCACTTTCTACAATATATGTTGTAATGATTGCATTTGTATCTCTCTTTTTTTTTTGGTCTTTTTGAGATAGGGTCTTGCTATGCAGTTCAGGATGGACCTGAACTCACTATGTAGCCCAAGCTAGCCTCAAACTTGCAGTGATCCTCCTGCCTCAGCCTCCTGAGTACTGGGATCACCAGTGTGCATCATAATGCTCAACCTCAGTCAATGACTCTTTTTTTTTTTTTTTTTTTGGTACCAGGGATTGAACTCACAACTTCGTGCTTGCCAGGCATGAGCTGTGCTGCTGAGCTATATCCCCAGCCTAGTCAATGACTTTTTAAAGCAACCTTCTTGAAACAAGATGCTTTTCTTTTGCTTTTCCTGCTTTTGTTTTTTGGAGAGAGGATCTTTCCATGTATTCCAGGCTGGCCTTCAATTTGCTACATAGGCAAAGCTGTTCTTGAACTTGTGATCATCTTGCTTTAGCCTCTGGAGTGCTGGGATTATAGGTGTGCACCACCAAGCCTGGCTGAGGGTGATTTTCTTTGCAAAATTCTTCTCTAAGGGTTTTTTCAACTCTAGTTTTGTTAAAGAGAAAAATATGTCTTTAGAAGATAGAAATGGACAGTTTTAATATTTGAGCTAATATCTGCACTCTCTACAGTGCAAAGAATGACTTTCAAGTTTTTAGCTTGGCTATGTATTATCTGCAATTTGCATAGGAAAATCTTTGAAATGAAATTTCTTTCCCTGATTGTTTATTCCTCCTGCGTTTCACAGTCAGGTCCTCATCTGGATTCTTATTGGGCTGAAACTACTAATATGGCATTTTCTGTTTACTGTTAGTGCTTCCTTACAGAGGTGAGGCCGCCCTGCCCGGCTCTGAATTTCTGCCTCAGAGCCAGCAGGGGGCGCTCATTCACACAAGACTCTGAAGCCATTTATAAGGGGATGGTGGGGAAAATAATTCAACTTTCTTCAGTAACAGTGGCCTTTCTGCATGTGGGTGAATTATCACATGCTGCAACAGGTTCCCGATAGTGGTGCTTGGACGAAGAGCGCAGGGAAGCCTCAGAGGAGCACAGTTGTCAGCGCAGGGCACTGCCCGTACCTGTTTTTCAAGGCTTGGCTTGCTAAGCTGTACAGTCTGAGGTCCAGCGAGCCTGGTCCCTGGAGTAGCTATCACAATGCTGGTGAGTTGGGCCATGGGGAATGTTTTGGCTATGGTTGCGGTCTGCCCATTGACGACCCGGACAGGGTGGATGGAATTCTGGGATGTGGGGAGGGTTGTGGGGGTGAACTTGGTCAGCATGACAGGCCTCTGGATAAGCTGAGGAGCTGCGAGCATGGGTGGAGGTGCTGGGGCGATGGGAATGTTATTCTGGGCCACAGGCTTGGGTCGAACCTGTAGGGGAAAGAAAGAATTATTATTATATTACCTAAAGGAATTTCTCAAGTCTTGTAGGTCTATAACATGGCGTATCTTCCACATACTATACATGTGAAACAGTATTTGATATAAATGCTTATGAATACTCATTTAGTATTACTAATTCTACAGACCTCAGGACATATAATGGTACAAAAGACTCACCAGCACTAAGGGAATCCAAATGCTACCCTGAATGTCACATCTCCAAGTCTAACACCTCAACTCCTTTGCATATACCATGCTGCCTCTCCAGGCGGAGGTTAAGAGGCTGATACGGAGACTGTTCCGCCCAGAACTTGTGCCCAGAATGCTAATAGTGCTGCTGATGGCTGAGATTCACATTCTGAATTCCTACGTACCCACAGAGAGCTTACCTTCTACCTCCGGCCCTCTGACTCCCTGTACCACATTTAAGATTGGGCAGAGGAGGAGGAAAGAAAGCCGCAGAAGAGACCCAGAAGGAGAAGCCAACCACAGGAAGTCAGAGGGCTGGAGGTAGAGGGTAAACGGTAGAGTCCAAGGACAGTCTAGCTACATAGCAAATTCAAGGCCTAGACAGTATTTGTAAAACTGTGACCCTATGGGTAAAATCCTTTTGCTTATGCTTAAGAATATGACCCCTGGCTAACTTTCTAGCTCTATTCCCCTAGAAACCCAGTAAAGGTAAGAACGCCTATGTTACCAGGCACACATGATAAAAACTTGTTATTGCTATATTGATAAGAGGCCACTAAACTGAGTCTGAATGGGGAGAATCATAGATAGTTAAGAGGATACCATACTCTGGGCTTCCCTAAGTGAGGTGTGTTTCCTTGGGTAGGCCCCTTGTGGAGATCTTAAATGTCACACTTTAAGGCCTGTCACAAGATATATTGGCTTCTAAGTGTATGAGGCTTCTGTGGATGAGTGACACTCCCACCATCACAGATAAAGATCTCCTTTCCTTGAGGCAGAGGTATCTCTGGACAGCTGTAGAGACTGCTGATGGGCTGCGATGGGGACTCCTACTAAGGAAAAATATCTCATGCTGTCTTTCTGGCAAGCTGTGATTTCTGTTTTACATCATTTTCAAGTAGACTGGTGCCACAAGTGGCCCAGGATAGTCTTGTGAGTCTGAAAATTTGGCTTAACTTACAATGGCCTTGTAGTGATGCATGTCTATAAAACAAAAATTTTATGAAATGAAGTAAATGGTATGGAGCATCAAACTTCAAAACTGATTTCACAGCCTGCTAATGGGTTGTGACTCACTGTTAGAAAAACATGGACTAAGTCTAAGATTTCTTACCTAAAAAAAAAAAGTAATACCTACCTTTGTGGGGTTATTATGAGAGTTTAAATAGATAATGCATGTAAAGTGCCAAATCTAGCATGGTATCTGGTAGTCAGCAAGGCTCTCCAAACCTCAGCTATGACCATCAGTGTCCTCCTTGCTCTTCCTGCCTGCAGTCTTGATCCTCCCTAACCTATTTTTTGCATGGTGGTAAGACAGAAAAATGTCTGTCTTTTTTTTTGGTACCTGGGATCGAACTCATGACCTTGTGCTGGTGGCAGGTGCTTATGCCCCTGAGCTAAATTCCTGGCCCAAGACAGAATTTCTGAAGCGTAGGCCTGGGACGTAAGTCCTTGCTTGGAACTTACTTCCTGGCTCCCACTGTCAAGATGCCGCCAGATCAGAAGGGTGTGTAGGCTCTGACCTCAGCGCTGTCCTCCAGCAAGCATTGATGCCACATGGCCCCTGCAAATCCTGAACTTCTACCCATCTCTCTGCTCCACACACAGAGGCTCTGCCTTCTACAGACAATAGCTTTGTTCTTCCCCTCAGACGTTTTCAGGCAAACTTTATGAGGCTTTTAGGTCTCAGACTGAATGCCAAATCTTTAAGGAAATCTTGAAACTGTCTCCAATATGCCAAGGAATAGATGCTGCTGCCTCCTCCCCAGACTACTCTGTAGGCCACAGGACAGGCTCAGATGCATTGAGGGCAGCGAGCCATCCAGCACATCCTGCTACCCAAAGTTTTTATTAAAGACGTATCTGATGACTGAAATCATTGTGTCTCATGTTTGTACTGTCAATCCCCTCCTAAGAAGTACCTTGCACAAGGGAGCCCCAAGTCCTTTCTCTTCTCTTTGCTTGAAACCTAGGGCTGCAGACAGAAATTCTCAGCCTTTACTGAGCAAGTCAATATCCTGCAGCTCCTGTCAAGGCCAATCGGGATTCTGCCTCAAGAAGGGTGAGATCAGCTTCAGTGCTAGAAGCACACTCAGGAAAACGGACAGAGCCAGCTGCTGGAGCCGGGAGAGTCTCCTTGTGCAGACCCCGCCGTGAACCTCTGAAAGCCAGGTTTACGTTTAAGCCTGTTGCTCAGTATCGAAACTTCCAGAGCAGAACTGAATGGTTTTTATCAGTTAGTTCGGCTGCTGCATTTTCCCCCACTCTTTTTGGTAACCAGGAAAGAAATGAAAAGTGGTAATTGCATTCTTTCCCCACTCCCGGGCAGGTTCTGGTACATTCTTCCAGCAAATTAACCTTGTAAGAGTTATAATGTTGTTACTGTGATTGCTTTACATTTAGGAAACTCTTTTTCCTTCACTTCCCTGTTACTGCCTTTGGTCACTGCTGACAAACCACAATGACAGAATAAGCTTCTTCCTTGAAGAGAAAGCAACCGGCAGAACCTATAGCTAAGAGGACTCTGAATTCAGGGGAACTGGTGAGCCTGCTTCCAGGCCGCACTGAGAAGGCCCATGAGGATTTTGGTCCTGCTAACCCGCCCTGGGCTTCTCTTTGGTTTACTCACCTGTGGAAGGAAGTTTGGACGTGGAGTGAGTCTAGGAGGAGGGATAAACTGTGGAACTTTGATGGGCTGAGGAGGTGTTGCCTGAACCTGCTAAACAAATGGGAAGAGAAATCAGGGCAAGGACAGTCCACTAGGTAAAGGTCAACACGCTTATAGTATTTTCAGTATTGCAGTATTTCCCACACTGGACAACATGGTCTCCAAGTGTCCACTGTAGAGTTCACTACTTGAATTGACACAGCATGCAGAATATTCCCTCCCACCTGCCTGCTTTGCCCCACAACCAACCACATTTGTGTGCTCATGCAACAGGCTCAGCCATCTTAGACTATTTCCTCTGTCTCTAGAGAACTCGTGTGCTTACATATTTTAAAAGCTGACTGGATCCAAAGTAAAATCAAACTTGTGCCTAGGTAACCGGGCTCTCTCCTAAGCGAGGCCCTAACCCAACAGTGAATGGCTTTATTCCCATAGAGAATTTCCCTCAGTAACCAGGTGATCAGGTGCTTCTCTAAGGATTCCTGGGTAAGAGCCTAAGCCTCACTGTGCTGCTCTCCAGTTTTCTTCACTGAAAAGCCACCCACAGCTCTTTGTTGCCATGTTAAGAGAATGTTTTCACCCTATCTGGATACAGTTCCCTTAAGTTTGCAGGAACATCAGTTTCTAAAATGGCTCAATCCTAGAAATCTAGGAATAATTCTCATTTAAGTACTTTCTTCAAGGGAGTATTTTTTCCCTGATAGAATCTGGCTACTGATTCATTAATTTATGAGTTTCTTGACTATTTTCCAAGTGTCTCAACCAACAACCAGTACTTCTTGGTGGCATTCAGTGTAAAGAATAGTGACTACGAGAATGCAGGAGGGGATCTTCCCCAAAGCAGCAGCGCAGCGCGAGAGTTTAAACACTCAAGCTTCACAGGAAGGACAGCAGACAGGACGGAGGGAGAGCTGAGCGAAGGACACATTTCCTAGAAAATCAAGCCACGCTTTGACTGCAGACTGCTATAGTCCCTTGCCAGGCCCAAACAGAACATGGTATGCCAGAAGAATGACAAGAACTGAGAACCCTCTCCTGTGGGTACACGTAAGTAGCAGCTGCTGGCTTACCAGAGTGACTGTGTTTTTTGCCACAATTTGGACAGCCTCTGCCCCAGGCCCAGTGACCTTACTAGACGTCTGGAGGTTGACTGGTGTGTTCTGCACATCAGTGCTGAGCACAGCCTTCTGACTGTTGATGGCGGTCACCATAGCAATGGTAGGTCTCTGGCCCACAACAGAGGCAGGCATGGTCGCAGTTGCTGCTTTCAAGACGAGAGGTAGTGTCTTTGTGGTAATCATAGAAGCTGTAGTTACAGTCTTCTAGGAGACATGGAGAACGGGTATTAGGACACAGAAACGTGATCCCACTAACCATATGCTGCTGGACTCCAGAATGCAACAAAGCAATAATTTTCATAATCAGTCACGTTTCTCTACATAACCACATTTCTCTTGTGTACATAGAGCACACTAATACAGGGAAAGATAATCTCTGGTTCACTAGCGTTCTCAAATCGGTGTCATTTCTAAGTGGGCAAGTCCATTGTAATGGCTAGAGCAGGATGGGCAGAGGGCTCCCAACAAATGAACAGAGTGGGCTCACAGACAGTGAACATAATTTTTTCTAGTTTTCCCAAATCTTTGCTTGACATAATTTATACACAACTTGCAAATCACTGAGGTACATATCATCTCTATTTCTATTTTTAATTACTACAACCTCACTAGTATGAAGAAAACCACCATAGAATTCTATTGATCTGCCTCCTGTGACACAGGAGGAAGGGACAGTGTCTCTTTACTTTTTTGAGTGTCACCCTGGAGAGGCAGAAGGGAAACTTACATGAGGATTAGCACAAGTACTGCCTCAGAAGCAATAAATCCCAAACGCCAGGTAATGAAACATATTAACCAACTAGTATAGGAAATCCCACTTCTGGATACCAAAGGGATGAGTCACTCTCTGTAAGCTTTTCTCTAGAGAACGGCTGCAGAAGTGATCAAAGATTCAGTGAAACCTGACAAGGTGGAAACAAACACCCGAGTTTCAAAAAGCCTTGGAGATCAGAGGATGAACCGAAGGGAGAGGACCTGACTGCTGCCTCCAAAGTGCCACACAGCACTGAAGCTGTATTTTTTGACTTTTTACTAGAATAACTACAAGTGCCAGCTACAAAACAAGTAAATAGAAACAGCCTCAGGACTTGGCACACACATCTCTCTGGTGCAGGATTTCAGAAACAGGACGAATGACCCGGTCCAAATTGCTGGTTCTGATTCTGCATTCTTTCTTCTTCTCTATTTGTACAACTGGTTGCCATTAGCCACATGTGGCCATTCAAATTTAAACTACAAAATTAAATTAAGATGTTAGTTCTTCATCTGCACAGGTCATATTTCAAGTGTTCAAAAAGCCACATGTGCCCAGTGGCTACCAACCTGGACAGTGGACACAAGAGAATATTTGCAACACTGCCCATGGCTCTACTGGACAATACTGCTCTAGGCCAGCAAAAAGTAAACCCCCTCCCATCTTCCCGCAACACACTACCTGCACAGCTTCACTCATGAATTTCTAGTTCAGTGTTTATGTAAGCACCTGTGTACTAAGCAGTTTGGTTGTGATTATTTCCCTTTTCTGCTGTCTACAAACATACAAGTTTGTTTTTTCTAGTCCTGGGGATCAAACTCAAGGGTGCTCTACCACTGAACTATATCCCCAGTCCATCTATCCTTCCTTCTTTTTATTATTTACTTATTTAGATTTTTTGAGACTGGGTCTCATTATGTAGTCTAGACTGGCACTGAACTCACTCTGTGGTCCAAAGTGGTTTTCAATTCATGGCAGCCCTCCTGCCTCAGCCTCCCAAGTTGTGAGATCACAGATGTGCACCACCACATCTGTCTTGTGGTTCTTTTTAATTTAGAGATAGAGTCTCACTAAGTTGTCCAGGCCAGCCTCCAACTTGCCATCCTCCTGCTTCAGCCCCCCAATTAGCTAAGATTACAGGTATGTACCACTGTACTCAGCTATAAATGCATCCTTTAACATATTTTATTTTTCTTTTAATCAAAAAAGTTAGTGACATGGTCTCATGTATTCCATCACAGCCTAATCAGCCACCCTTATTAATGATGTAATTAATATCAATACCTTCTTTAAGGCAACAATGCAGGAGTTTTCTACTCTTTGCCACTGCCTTCTTGATTGTGTAAGAGGGCCACAGGTCATCTGCTTTCTATCATTGATGAAAACCAAATTAATCTAGCTACTTATCATTAGAACTACTGTAGCAGTATAATAGCAAGGGCTGTACAATACCAGCTATTTGTAATAAGAGTTTAAACACAGCATGATAATAGCACTGTCTTTCAATTTAAAATGTTTCGGCGCTGATGACTGAAGCCAAGGCCTCTGCAGTGAGCTAGCTATCTCCCTAGCTCTCTTTTATTTTGAGTGAAAATCTCACTAGGTTGCTAAGTTGAGGAGACAGGGCTTGTACTTGTGACCCTTCTGCTTGAGCCTCCCAGAGGAGTGGGGTTACAGTCGTGTGCCACCACACCTGGCTAAATACAAAGAATTTCTCCAGTCATGAGCAAAACACACCTGATGGCATTCACTCCTGGTACAACCACAGGTTATGAAAATAAAGTGCTGGTCAGCAGAACTCAATGACACGGATTTTAAAAACTGCTGAGTGTGTTATTACTTCTTTAGAAGAAGTCAGAGTACTCTTGGTTCAAATAAATCATTATTAACATTTTAAATAATCTTCAACTGATTATTACTATTATTTTTTGTACCAAGAATTGAACTCAGGACCTTGGGTGCTGTGCCGCTGAGCTATACTCCTGGCCCCCTAAACTGATTATTCTAGAAATCCTCAATAAAACCTCAAACCCACCTGAATTATGTATTCATCATTAACCCAATGCTTATAACATGGAAACCTAACAAGTTTGTTCACAGGTTAGCATTTTTTTCTACTCTATAAACTTATGGTTGTGGCTAACTTCACTGCACGTATTCTAGCTACGATATAACAGTATAATACATAATGCACAAAAAGTAGTACTTTCTGCTTCGATGGAATCTTCCTGAAGAATTTATTTACTATTTATTGACATTCAGCATAGGCTTCCTAAGATTTTACTCCTGCTTTGGGGTTTGTTCTGTTTCAAATCTTAGGAAACAGAAAGCTAACTCTTAGAATGTTAGAACTTCAAAATCCAAACATGATGAAATGTTTAAATGGTTCTGGCAGAAGAAAGAAAGGGAAAAAAAGACAGAGAAAAGGATCTTAACAACAAAGAAAATTACTTTCTTTAGAATCCGTGATTAGTCTTTGGCTAGTTAATACCGTCTAAGTTTGATTGTCTTCAAGAGAAGGTATCAGTTACTCCACAGTTTAATTTTGACAAAACCTAAACTGCATGAGTAGAAGTTAGTACAGAAGTACACGGTAAATAACACCAAGGGCAAAATCTTTTTATTTTTGCTGTTATTACTCTTTGTCTGCAAAATATGAAGTATTACTTAAGACATTTTAATGTACCAACAGAGCTTTGAGGGACTGTTACTACTGGTTCTAACTAACCTCTATATTAATTTCACATTACTTAATTTTGAGTGAAAACTCACCATTGTTCACTAAAGCAACCACAAATACAAGACTTCTTTCCTGGGACTGTGGATTTAGCTCAGTGTGTAAGCACCTGCGTGGCAAGTGTGAGGTCATGAGTTCGATCCCCGGTACGAAAAAAAAAAAAAAGATTTCTTTCCCTTTCCCTATACAGGTATATTTTCTATTTGGTGTTATTTATTGTACTCTTATTTACATTTGCATTTTATCACTAAAAACAGGAGTCTGTGACTATAGGTTGAAGAATATGTGTGTACACAAGTGTTCTATTAGCTTTTTCTGGAAAAACTTCAAAATACTATACATACAGGTTTGAGTTGGAACTATCTACAGTCAAGTACCCAATTTACAAACATTCAAGTTGCCGACTTTCACCGGTGTACTGTATAAGCTCACTTTGTCAGATACAAATCAATCTGCCTCATGAATCCTTTTCCAGAACGGAACTCATTCGTGAGCTGGGACTTATTGTACATAGAGGCAACGCTCCTGCTCCTCTCTGCTAAAGGATTTCATTTCTTCCCTACACTTCAGTACATGCTAATCACTTAAGTAGCATCTCCTCCTGCCCCACACTGATTGCTACTTCACAGTTACTCCTTTCTGAAGCTGCCTATTTCAATATGCCACACACAATCTCTCCCTTGTCCTCATCCTTATGAACTCTAATTCCTTCCCTTCGGCTGCACAACACCCAAGGTTTTGTCCTGCACTGAAAGTGCCACCACAAGCTAGCCCTGCCGACCTTGCCTGGCCTTTTCTCCTTCTCCCACCTGTTTATGGAATCCTTGCTCCAACCACACCAGCCTACTTACTGCTCTCAAGCCATGCATTCACTTTTCTGATTCCACATTTTTGTTCATACTATTTCTATACTTGTGATGCTCTTTCCCCTCTGCTCCACCACTGAAATTCCATTTATCTGCCCAGGACTGCTCAAATGCTGCCTCTTTTGAGAAGCACTTTCTAATGCCTCTGATTAAAAGTACAGTACTCTGCTCTCTGGTGTCTTCACAGTTATTCACTGATACTTTTATTTTATTCCTGTCAGCAGTTTGGGTTGGCTTCTACCTTTCTACAATTTTTAAACTGTTGAAAAAAGAAACTCTGTCTCATGAATCTATTCTTCATATTGCCTAGCAAAGTGCCTGCACATAGTAAGGACTCAATAGATAGTTAGAGAATGGGTTAAAATTAATTAACACACTGTACCAGATTTTTGGCAAGGATCATTGTTCATTATACATTAGAACCAAGCACACTGGGAATGGTAAACAAATATTGAATAAATATTACAGTTTACTGTAAAGGCAAGTAACAAAAACCTAAAGGATCCTTCAGGTTTTAACATTAAATCTTTGCACTAAAAAAAAAAAAAAAATATATATATATATATATATATATAAAACAAAGATTAGTTTAATCAATTAAATATGTCAGGTGGGCTTGAGGGAGAGATACTACACTGTTTTGGGGACAATACTGGGCACCTCACTGTCCACCATCCCAAAGTAACGCAGAACTCAGATGGCCAGGGAAGGAAGAGTTACTATAAGTATTTTATAAATATTTCCTCATTTGTATAATATGGACTACTATTTGAACCAAAAGTGTTCATGGGATAAGACAGAAAATGCCGGGCTGGGGATTTAGCTCAATGGCTTAAGTGCCTACCTGGCAAGTGCGAAGTCATGAGTTCAATCCCCGGTACAAAAAAAAAAAAAAGATAGAAAATGTCTCTGCACCAGGAAATAATAAATGCTATCAAACTGCTTCCACATAAATGGTCTTAGATTCATCTGCACTTTGGAAAGAGAACAACTTAATCAAACTGTTTAAAACTCTCAATAAAAGTAATTCTCTAAGCAATCTTTCAAAAGCAATACAAATCTTGGTCTGGGAATTTTTAAAGTCAGGTTTAATGTCTAATTCCCAAATAGCCTTGAGGCAAAGACTAGGGTAAGAATCCCAGTCCCTGCTCCAGCTATCTGATTTATATGGAGGTTTTCTCTCCTCTCCTCTGATTTGTTGCAGTGTTTGCATTTCCTGTTTTGGTCCTGCATGGCAGTACAGAAGAGTGGGTGAATGGACAGGTCTGTTCAGTCAGAATACTGGGGGTTCAATCTTGGCTCTAATACACACTACCTGTATGATCTAGGCAAATTACATACCTCTCTGTGCATTACATGTTCTCATCTAAAAAAACAAAGGACAGTAACAATTTCCTCATACAGTTGGGACAAGGAATGTGTCCATGAAACGTGTAAAGCACTTAGGAGATACTGGTATACAGTAACTGGTATTAAATGCTAACTAGTGTTTGTCACTTCTGAACAAGACTTTAACTCCATTAGAATCCACAGAAGTGATTTTCTTTTGTCACTGACTACCTTTCCTCCCTTCTCTAGACAGCTGGAAAGTTGACTTTACTTCACTGTTACGTTCCTTCTTTCTGCTGGTAAATTTCAGGAGATGCATACCCAGTTAGTTTTTTAAAAAATGAAACCAGGAAAACTTTCGTTTAGCACTGGTAGGGCTTGGGCTCCAGTTCTGTGTGACTGGCCCGAGTCGGTCTCGCTGCCGAGCCGCCCGCAGGTGCACTCTACCTGTGAAGCAGTCAGGGTGGGCGAGGCTGCGGCTGGCTGCTGGGCGTGGTGGTGGTGGTACTGCTGCTGTTGCTGCAGTTGCTGGAGTGGTTGCTGCTGTGCTGTTTGTAGTTTGTTTTCAGATTGTGGCAATGGCTGTATTTGGAACTTGTCTGGTTGTTCTTGCTTCACTATCAGGTTCTTCCGCAGCTGTTCAACTACTCTTTTCTATCAACAGAGTGGAAACAAAAAAGAAATAAAATCTATCAGAATACTGTTTCATCAGCTGCATGGAAATACACAGCAATTATATTCCTCTGACATCTTTTCTGTTAACTAGCTTCATTTAAAACTTGTTCCATATAAAATTTATACAGCTTCTACACATAGAAGTTCCATGAACTTAACAAATATTACCATAAATATGGGAAATTGAAGCACAGAAGTGAAAAAAGTAGAAAGAGATTACATAGCTGTACTCAGATGTCTTGACTATTATCAGTCTAGCATGGTAGGCTGGATGGGCAGAAGAGCACAACAGGAAGAGGACAATTCTAGAGCTTACATTGCTTCAATTAAAAGTTCAATTGACATTCTTATCAACTTTATGATATTGCGCAAATGTCTTAGCCTACCTGGGTCTCAAAGTCCTGGTCTGAAAAATGAGGTGACTGACAATATCCTTAGGGTTCCTCTATATACAATATTCTTTTTTTTCATTGTGTAGCATCTTTATTATATTTTGTGCCTCTAGTGGCTTAGTCTAATAGGAAAACTAGTGAGTCATAGTATATTAGTCAAAATATCCAAGTTTAAATTCAATCTCTTATTTTGAGATTTCAGACAAGTCACTGAGTTACTCTTCTCTTTACTATACAATATTCTTATATACATACAGTATTACATTGGTGCAACAATGCTTCTGCTTGCAAACAATTTAGTTCTCCAACAAAAGCCATTAGCAAAATTTTGCTTCTGTTCACAAATTCCACACTGAATGATATATATAACCATGGCCATTTTCCCCACACAAACACAAACAAAGTCATCTTCCCCCAAATCATAAAACAAATCAAGTTTGTAAAGTGAGCTACCACTCTATTTATTTATACATACAAAGTGCCCAGAAATGTGACTGACACATTATTTGTCATTATTATCTGTATACCCAGTATCACAGATACAAAGCCATACTCATCTGTATTAATCAAACTAATATGATGTATCTATCCTAGTTTGAAACTAATATTAAATAATGTTTACTTGATCCCAGCAATATTCTAAATAACTGACATATTTAACTCTTGAGGAGAACCTTGTTGTTGGGTCAAACTCTGAGGAAATATATGCATGTGTTTAGGCAGAGGATTTGGTTACATGGATGAAAATTTAAAGTTAAGGTTTCTAGAAGGGTGAAATGCAGTGAAGGGTGTGTTTTTGGATACCTTGTGTACTGTCCCTCTGGTCCCTTCCTCCCTTCCATTTTCTCAGCGCTGAGGTTGAACCCGGAGCCTTGCATATGAGAGTGAGCTGCCTATCACCAAGCCACATCCCAGCACTATCACAATCATTCCAACAGGAAGTGAGCACCACCAGCAACTTCTTTTGTTCACAATGGTACTCTGCACTGGGTCCTATGCTGCTGAGTAATGTCCTCACCCTTTTCAGAGGTTTATAAGGTAATGTAACTAAGAGTAGTGCATGGCTCAGAGAATGTTTACTATCTATTTACTGTCTTCTTGGGCCAGTCTTGGGCTCAGGTTCTCCAGGAAGTGCTGGCTGAAGGACGAATAAGCACCGTTCCCCTCGTCTACCTTCTTTTTGAAGCTTTTTCTTAGTGCCTGCCTGCTGCACACAACGCCCACATTTCCTGGTGGAGGCTGGTTCATGTACACAACGTATCTTCATTCCTTCTGCTCATCCCTTTCCCTCCTCTCTCCTCTTGGTCCCTTTCTCATCTGAGAAAGACCTATCTCCCTGCTTCTTATTATCTAACTTTTTATTTTGCTATTTATTCATGCGTTGAGTTTCTCATATAACGGAGACCATGTAATAGTTAAGCTTAGGTGTGTGATTTATTACACTAAACATTATGGTGTCAAGGTGCACCTGTTTTCCTACAAATGACTCAAGTTTCTCTCTCTTTCTGGCAGGATAGTATGCCGTTTTGTGTAAATACCACAATTTCTTTGTCCATTCATTTGTTGATGGATACACAGGCTGCTTCCAAGATTTAGCTATTATGAATGATGTTGCTATAAACACATGAGGCATAGTACTTATGATAACAAAAGATTGATATTTTCATAGATTATAAATAAAGAAAAAGAGATTCAATGTTCAGTGCTTCACTGAAGAGTTTTTGTTGTTGAAACAAGAGTATCGCTGTATAGTTCAGGCTGGCTTGAACTCACTAGGTAGCCCAAACTGGCCTCGAATTTGCAGCAAACCTTCTGCCTCCGCCTCCTAAGTGCTGGGGTTACAGGCATGCACTACCGTGCCCAGCAGCATAGGCCTTTAAATAAAGGATTAAGTAAAGCCATAAGCACAAGATTAACTTTTAAATTCCAGGGCTGGGGATTTAGCTCATTGGCATAAGCGCCTGCCTGGCAAGCATGAGGTTGTGAGTTCAATCCCCGGAACCACAAAAAAGAAAAAAAAAATCCTAACTTTTAAATTCCTACTATGGCCCTAACTAACTTCATCACCCATATGCTCTAAAGAATCAAAACCTGCAGGTTGCTTAACAGATTTGAACATTAAAATACTTACAAAATGGATTTTTAAAAACTTTACATTAATACAAAATTCATTAAGCATTTTTATGTTTTTATTATTGATTCTTTTTAGAAGACAAAAATATCCCATAAAGGCCAGTTTTGTGGAGAAAAATTGATTCTGCTACATATTACACTGCTAGCACTGCCTCTTTGAGTAAATATTTTTTTAAATGTAGAGGGTACAGTCTTTGCAGAAGCTATCTACAAAGTGATAAAAGTGCAAATTAATAAAGTATTAAATGCTTATAAAAATTAACTTTCAAGTCTTCAAAACCATTTCTCTGCCTATAAAAGGCAGAGAAATGGAACTGCCATCAGTTAAAAGGAGGGGAAGTACTACTAGGAGTGGTGCTGCTGATAATTCTGAGTATCATGTATAGATTTTATTGCATGGTACCTATCAGAATAGTCAGATGTTTAAAAGTTAAGCAATTAGCCAGGCCTGGTGGCACAATCTGTAATCCCAGCACTTGAGAGGCTGAGGCAGGAGGATCACTGTGAATTCAAGGCTAACCTGTCCTACATAGTGAGACTGTCTCAAAAAAGCCAAAACAAAAACACCAACTCAAAACAAAGCAAAACCAACAATAACCATCCCCAGGGTGTTCCACTTACTGTCCACTAGAAGGGAGAGAGGGGAGAGACAAAGCTCAGAACCTCCCCAGTGTTATGTAGCATAGTATGGAACAGCAGGGAGAGAGCCAGAGTCCTGCGGGCTAGAAGAGGTGGCGGCCAATTAGAACTAGCTGCGAGTGTGTAGTCGAGGGCATCACCCTGCACTCACAACCGTTCCTCCCCACGGCCTGAATCAAAGTCCTGGAAGCCTGCAGGATGGCAAGGAAAACAAGATCCAAGTATCTGCAAACCAAAGAATCACTCGGGGACTCATGGCCCCTTGCTCCTGGCTGTGCTCCTCACAAGATGGAACAGCTGCACATGCCTTCGGGTGTCGGTGACATTTTTAAAAACATCGAGGCCTGAAAGAAGTAGAGTTGCTTTCCATCACTTAAACATACGTGGCTGCAGTCAGAAAGCTAAGGGCAGAGAGCAGGAGGGCGCAGCAGTGGAGGGCTCCCGGCTATTGGGCAGCGGGGTAGAGGATGGCGCTATGCGACAGCCACTGCCCTGTCCCACAGCCAGTCTCGCTCTGGTTGAGCTGTGCTGCTCCAGCACACACAGGGCTCGCATCCCTTGACAGGGACCTAGATGTAGGTCAGCAGCAGCTGTGGGTGGCAGGGAGAGAAGGCAGCTGTAGTATTCCTGAGTCCCAGCCATATGGGATCAGCGTTCTCAGTGGCCCCTGTTGAAGGACATCCTCTTGTCTCCACAGGAGATGAGCACACAGTTCCTCTTAGGCGTTTTGAACAAAGAAATCCCGGCTTCTGCTGGTCTTTAAAGAGGATATACTGGCACGATCGATTTGGTATTTTCGATGGTGTTCACACCGATCTAACATCATCCTAAGGCACTGAGAAAAGGCTACATTTTACAGCCTGCTCATTTGACATTCATTAATTCATTAATAAAAGTTAAAAGAGAAGAAAAAAGCCAAGTAAGTAAAGAAAGAAAAGCTAGAAAGAATGGCCACATCAGGGAGGGAGAAAAGTGAGTAACTTAGGTCTTCTAAATGTATGCACTGTGAACGGCAGGCCAATGTGGCAGGCCTCCGGGATGGCTAGCGTCACCCCTTTCAACCCAGCCAACGGGAGCTGCCCCGCAAGCCCAGCCAGAGACCGAGCCTCACACTCCCTGGGCGCTGGCACCACTGGGTCTCACCAGGCCGTATTCAGGCAGAAGCGTGCAGCGGCCCTCTGACATCTCAATCACAGCTTCCAAAACAGGCAGTCATGGTGGTCACTACTGCGACATTCAGGGATACTATCAGCACGCGCACACGACAGCAAGAGAGATCCAAGGGAGAATATGAGAGGAACTTATAGCTCCAGTACGACAGAACGTGGGGTTGCTTTCATGCCGAGTTCCACGGTGCTGGCCAGTACAGAAGGGAGCTGGGGAAGTGAAAGGACAGCTCCCCACTGAGCTGACAGCCGGATTCCATCGGTACATTTACCAACAAATTTAAGAAAGTTTCTCTCAAAAGGAACTCTGGGCAGAAAGTGCTTTCCACTCCTGGTCGTCACTGATTAAGTCTCTACTTTGTCTACCTTTACAAAATATTAACTGTTGCGATTCAAACAGAGAGGGCCACATCCATTCAAGATACCTTCCTACATAACCCTGGCCTTAAAAATTCATCCACTCTTGTAGGCCAATATCCAATCACAAAATACAACCTTCCCCTTTCATATCACAGGCTGATAGTCCTTTCAGAAATCCAGAGAGTCAGGAACAAATCTTACTCATTTTTACAGTGAAATGCAGTGAAAGTATTTCCAGGCATCCAGCCTTACCAACTGCTCAAGCTAAAACAAGGATACTAAATTTTGT